TTAAACTTTTAAATTATTCTTCCTTAGCTTTCCCTAGATCTTATTGAATCCCAAAGTTATCCCTTGCAAAGCTGAACCATTGCAAATGTTTGTACTTCGAGCAATACAAAGAAAAACTGTGCCAAGATCACAAAAGTTGCTTTAAGTAAATCTAGGTTGGCGTTTGTGGCAGGGGTCATAAGTCACATCACCAACTTCGTGCCAAGAGCCAGAAATGGTGTTGGCTTAAAACTAAGCCCCACATATTTTTTCAGCATCTTTAATCCTGCCATAGGGGCCTATAATAAGAAAGCAGGTAACATACAGGCAACCACAACTGTGCGGAGTGTTAATTTTTTGGCCTCTGGCCTCATGCTGGTCAAACATTGCCCAGATGCTAGAATGTATGTCTTGTTAGACCCTAAAAGTGTAACAGAGCCTACTTGTTTAGCCTGGGAAGGGAGTGTGTGCAAAGGTAATTTGTCCAACCTAATTTCCTTTTTCACCACCACCCATTCCTAATGCGGCCTCCCCTCCTAGGATTAGTTCTCCTCTGTGCAGTGGCTAAACAGAGCCTCTTCCCTCTGGCCTTCTGTTTATCATCTTCTGTCAAGCGCATGCTGTTCCCAGGCAACAGAAAGGAAGTGCCAGTTTGCAGCCACATGGTTGTGGCCAGTCATTTCGTGTTAGCATCCTGGGGCAAAGCCTCATTTATTTCTAATCTAATGTTTCTAGGGGAACGACACAGTCAGCGTGTCCCGGACACTGTGCCAGTTTAGACAAAACCGCCTCTCTCAGTTTCTACTTTCGTTGGAACTCGTTCTCGGCAGGATTGTGTTTACTGTCTCCGGCTGAATATTCATTAAATTCTGTATCTTTTCAGTTTTTTTATTATAAAAATCCAGTTTCATCTGAGGTAACCATCACATTCTCTTTTATTTCCTTCAGTCGACAACATAGAGCTGCACTCAAAAACTTTAGAACACATTTTAAACTAATCGAGGCTTCTACATTTGAGCATGTTTAAACTGGCCTTTGGTACACACAAGGTGTTGAAAATGGGAGTAATTTTTCCTCTGGAACTTTAAAAACATAGATAGCAACTTTGTCTTCATTATTTTACAACTGAGAATGTTATTTATTGGCAGGTTTAATGCTTTCCTTCCAAACTGCAATTTTCTTATAATCTTGCCCTCAACTGTTAATGACTTTGAGGAGCTTAGAAAAAGAAAAGTCTACACGAGGGACCCTTTTGTGGTTTGAACAATGGAGTATGACTCTGAAGACCAGGGTTTCATTCCTTGCTTGAATGTGGAGACCCACTCTCTGCCCCAGAAAAAAACCTGTGATAGGTTCCCTTAAGGTCACCATAAGTCGGAAAATGACTGGAAAGCACACAACATGTTGCTGCCGGTGTATGTAGTAGTTACTGATAAAATCACAACTGGAGTGGGTCCTATGGAACCTAAACTTGATCCTCTATATATGGGTGGTTCTCAACCTGTGGGTCCCCAAATGTTTTGGCCAACAGCTCTCAGAAATCCCAGCCAGTTTATCAGCTGTTAGCATTTCTGGGAGTTGAAGGTCAAAACGTCTGAGGACCCACAGGTTGAGAACCACTGCTCTATATCATTTTTCAAGCTCAACTAATTGTGTTCTGTCATGCACATTGGACTCAGCCCCATTCACATTACACAAATATAGTGCTAATTTGCACTGTATCTGCCATGGCAGCATCCTGTGCAGTCTTGGAATTTGTATCTCAGTGAGGTATGAGAGCAAATGGTCCTCCTTAAACTTTAGAGGAAGAACATTTAGAATCCTCAACCAGAAAACCCCTCTGATTCCTTATTCCAAGCTACGAAACTTAGGATTTCCTGGAATGTTGCATTATAATTAGACAAGCTGGCATTTTGACCAATCTGAGGTCTCAGGTATAAAATGCGGTAGGCAAGGCATCTATCTGTAGTTGAGGGGCTGTATTATTACCCTTGGGACCCAGTGGAAGGGCTGCATTTCCCCTTCACGCCCACAGATCTGCAGGTCCCAAAGTGGCCAGTAGCCTTTCATGGGTTTTGTTGGCCTTTTAATGAATTTTGAGACCCTTCATGCCCTCAACATGCTCTTGGAACATGTTGCTGATAGGCTGAATTTTCCATCACTGTGACTGGATCTACACTGCCAGATTAGGAATGCAGAACTGCATTGAACTGAATTATATGGCAGTGTAGACTCATATAATTCAGTTCGGTGCATTTTATCTGCATTCTGAAACTGCATTACGTGGCTTGCAGATCCAGCCTGGTTGAAGAGGACAATAGAAATTATGCCCTATTTCTTATACAATGTAACAGGTATCATATCAGTATATACCACTTTTTGTTTAATTGCATAAGCTTCCTACAGTTTTAAAAAAGACAACCCCTATTTTTATATATAAAAACTTCTTTCTGAATGTTTCCCTATGGGCACAGTTCAGTCAAGGAATGATTCCCTGGTGTGGAAATCAAGCTTTTACCAGAAATATGAGGGTTGGGTTATGCTTCTTCTCAGAACAAGGAATGCTTAGAAGTTTCTTTCTCATTAGAATCCAAAATGCATCTGAATGCTCTTGATGAATATTCTGATGTAATAGAAATGCCTGAATGTACTATTCTGTTGACAATTAGTCTGTTTATAACTACGGTATATTCCCATCTTGGGAGAAAAACAGGATATAAGCTCAACAAATAAATAAATGCGCACTATAATGTGTAAACTAGATAAGCATTCCGTGTGTTCTGTGGATGATACTTGGATTTTAGCATAAAATCCAAGTATTTAGGTATGTGACACATTCCAATATTAATCATGTTTGCTTATTGATCCATAGTATCAGATCTAATTTTTTCTCTTCTTCAAAAATTGATCTAACCCATAATTCTTTTGTTTAAATTTAATAAGAGAGCTCAGGCTTAATGTAAGCTGATATCTTGGGACTGAAATATAGCTGTGATGTTAACATGGAAAGAGCATAGTGTTTGACCATAGTATATCCACAGTTTTGTGAACCATAGTTTATGAAGCTATGGTTAAAGCACAATCTCAAATGACTATGGTGGTATAGCTCATGCATGGGCAAACTAAAGCCTGGAGATCAGATGCAGCCCCTGGGTGCTTATCTCAGGCCCTTCTCATTTTCCTTATCATTGTGGCAGAAGGGCATAGCACCCTGCCATGGCCTTGTGCCAAAAATTTGGGGGAGGAAGGTACATAGCAGCTGAAAGCCCTAGAGTGCTCTCAGCCACAATGTGTCTCGACCTCCTCCTGGCATAAGAATGGTGCAAGCAGCCCTATTCGGGAGGATTGCTCAAAAAAGACACGTGGTGGCTGAGGGACCTCTGGAGCACTCTCAACCACCACCTGTCTTGCTCTCCTCCCAGCATAATGCCAAGAGGACAGCCTTTAGGGGTGGGGGGTGGGAGGAGGATGGAATGGGGGATCGGGGAGGAGGAGGATCAGGGCAGTTGCTATGTATCCCACTTTCCTTCCAGCATAAGGACAGGGTGAGCAGCCCCATCCTTATGTTGGGAGTACAACCGGAGGATGGCCCATGCTACCCCTTACTGGCCGCATCCTCTCCTGGACCCTCCCTCTCCCAGGCCTGTCCCCCCCCCCCCAGCGTGTACCTGCCCCCCTTGCTCCTGGTTGGGACCACAATGCGATTCCAAGACAAAAATGTTTGCCCATGCCTGGTATAGCCAGTCTGTTAGAATTATTTTTTAAAATAAATGTTTATTCAAGAAAAAAGAGAAAATGGAACACACAAATGATATGAAAAACTACCAGAATTTGCATCTGTATAAAGTCTGCTACTACTAATTTACAACTATCTTCAGACTTTCAGGTACTACCTAGACCATAGTTTTCTAACATTGATTAAGGTAAACCTTCTAATTGCAAGAAATTTTATATCATATTTTGGAGAGAACTCCCCAACCCTACCCCAGGATAGTATCATGCAACATGTTATATTATCAACACGCTTAACCAACAGTGTATCATAAAAAAGAAGTGGGGAAAAGATTACTTAGTAAGCAAATACGGTAATAATTTTTGTTGTCTTAACATGGTTCTTCTTCTATCAATAATTTTAGTCACTAAACAAGTTACAGGCTAGTCTTTAAATATCCTACTCATCTATTCTACACAAGGATTCCATAATTTTTTAATGCATTGTGTTGATTTATCTTTAAGAGAACAAGTCAATTTATCCAATTCCTTCCAGTTCTTCTTCTTCCATATCATGTGTGAGATTATCGTAGAATTCTTTCACTTGCTGCAATGTTGTAATGCAGTCTTCTGTTATTAAAATAAAAGGATAGTCCTGGCAATGTCTTCCATCTGTATAGAATGTTTTTCTTCTTAAACTTCTCTGTCAAGTCTGTTAGAATTCTGATTGTGGCAAATTCAAAATACGAAGGAGGTGATGTTGATATGCAACATGTAAAAAGGGTCAGTGGGAAGTTCATATTAACCCTAACCCTGAAACTGTTTCTCCCCACTCATTTTTCTTCTGGCAGAAGTCACTTCCAGATTTGGAGCCACACCAAAGGAAAAACAGCTGCAGAGGGGTAGTTTCAGGGGAGAGGCATTGCAAGAAGTTCAGCCACTTCCTCCTAATATTCCTTCTGTTGTTTAAATCAGGATATCAACATTCAGCAGCCATTCACTTCTAACATAGTTTGGCCACTAATGTTTCTCATTTACACTGCAGCATAGGAGAGCTAAGTACCAGTAACTACACTTTTGCTATGCTATTGGAAATTCCATTTTTTTGTGGCCAGAAGGAATCTTCCTGTTGAAAAATCACTATTCTTCTGAAGCATGAACTATATATCATAGAAAGAAACCAAATGCATTTCCTTCACCTGTGAAATATTCAATGTCAGTACAAAAATAATGCATAGCTCTATCTTTCGAATGCCAGTGAACTCATTCCTTTCCATTGTAAACTGACCATTGCTTTTCTTTCTTTCCAGAATCACACGGCAGAAGAAAGGTGTAATTGGTGCACAGAAGATGCTGACAGAAAGGCTAAGTGACCAAAGCCCAAGTGTTTGTACAGAAGGGTCCTTTCCTTAGAAATGTCAGGAAATGTTTTGCTCATGACTTGCAGCAGCTCACCACTTGCAAGATCACAAACAGATGTCTGTTGGGTAGAAGCAAGCTCTCATTTTACAATCAACAGAAATGGAGCATGGGATCTTCAGCTTAGCTCCATATTTCTATCTCACCAGCCAGTATCTTTGTTCATGATGAAGCAGTTCTCTCTTGTTTTCCCACCTTACTTAACTTCATAGTTTCTACATGATCTCTTCTTGGCCAATGTGGCTGTATATTGATCTCCATTGTGGACCTGCAAATCGCTTCAGATAAGGGGACAACAATTTGGTCCAAACAGAAGTGTATTTTCCCCTCTTTTCATAAACATTTCGGTTTTATCTATGTGGGTAGAAGCAGCAGTGGATTTCAAAAAGAACAGCATCAACAGATCACTCTTTAACCTCTGTGAATGGTTTTAAGTTCTCTATTTCATTCCTGGTATAATGATCATGCAAAAGGTCTCCATGTCCAAGAAAAAGAAAGACTGGACAAGAAAAATACAGTGCTTGAAGAAAAAAAACATTCATGACAGTAACTGGCGAAATGATGGTCCATCCATCAAAGACTTTAGCATGATGTGGTCACATGGAAGGTGAAATAAACTGTAATTCTTCCATCAGATGATGTTTTAATACATATCTTTACCAAAGTCTCAACCTTCAGGAACACTACCTCCAATAAGTATGAGGATGAATTCAGATAAGAAAAAAATGTATTAGTACATTAGAACTAGGAGCCCTCAGTGGCGCAGCAGGTTAAACCACTGAGCTGCTGAACTTGCTGACTGAAAGATTGGTGGTTCAGATCTGAGGAGCGGGGTGAACTCCCATTGTTAGCCCCAGCTTCTGCCAACCTAGCAGTTAGAAAACATGCAAATGTGAGTAGATCAATACATACTTCTCTAGTGGGAAATTAACAGCGCTCCATGCAGTCATGCCGGCCACATGACCTTGGAGGTGTCTACGGACAATGCTGGCTCTTCGACTTAAAAATGGAGATGACCCCCACCCCCCCAAGAGTTGGACATGGCTAGACTTAATGTCAAGGGGAAACCTTTACCTTTTACTTACATCAGAACTTGTACAAATGACTTGTTCAGTAAACAGTTTGAGAGTTCCTGGTACAAAAATTTCCAGAGTTTGATTCTAATAGCCATGTGTAGAAGGCCATTAGACTACTGCAAACACAGGCTGAAAATGTGTTTTTTTTGCTAATAAAAAACATCTTTTGATCCTCTTGAGATGTGCTCCATTTTTTTTGGATTTTTACAGAACTGTATTTGGAATGTGGCAATATTTCCATTATCCACAGGATATATTCATGTTTTCTGAATATATTTTGAATTATTTGTCTTTTTATGGATATTATTTGATGTATGCTTTTTAAATCAACAATCATATTCAAATGAGTCACCTTTTTGTAGAAACGGGGGCTGCAGGGGGAAATGCCCTTAAAAATGCGTCTAGATACATTTTACTCAATGGAAGATGCTTAATTGATACATATACTTGAAAGTAGGTACGCTCGTCAACTCGTGCTCGAAATAGATACAAATGGGGGTGATTAAAGAAGATGTGATCCACACAAAAGCTGAGGAATGGATCGGATCATCTAAGGACTTGAAAATTTGCACCAGTTTATATGAGAACTGATGCTTAATTGATATCGTGCCAAAATGTGACACTGTGAATACATCTTTGGGCTGGGTTGAGAGCCCCTAAGATCTGTTTAAATAGGAAACTGAGTAATAAAAGGGTGTGAACACAAAAGTAATCTCCTGGTTTTATTAAGGTTTTCTGAAATAGTTCTCTTGGCAGCAATCCTTCTGGGCACATGGAAGAGGTTCCTTTGTAGTGGAATTATGTATTTCCCCATTAGTGAGTTGACCTGAGCTTTTTATGATTATTACAAATCCTGCTGTTGTGGCTTGCTGAGATTCTGTATACATTTGCCTCTTACAGAATACGCATTTCCACAGTTCATTTCAGGGTGCATTTAGCTATTCAGGAATAAAAACATCTATGGGAACATATTGGGTGTGAAACTGCATGTTTCCCTTTCTTGCATTTTTAAAGTTAAAGATGGCTGGCACAAGACTATTAGGAGTGCAAGAAAATCTATTGATTGAAAGTGGCATACGTAAAAGATGTTAGTGAGTTTTCATTTTATATCATCTAAATGTGTGTGTCCAATATATATTTTCAGTTTTGCAAAAATACTTGGTCTTGGTTTTTTTTTAACCCATACGACATACATAATATTGGCTTATTTTGAATGTGTGAATTATACAATGCCTTTTAAATAAAATAAGAGTAACACAAATAATTTGATTTAAAATGCCATAGAATAAGCAACACATTCAAGAATGGGCCAGTTTTTGTATGTCATTTGGGTATAGAAAAAAGCAAGCATTGGAAGTCTATTATTGTTTATGGTCTACATTGTCATTTTACAGATCCAGCAATAGCACATTGCTATATCACTTAACACTTTTTCTGGTTTCTTTTATTTGAACTAGAACCCAAAGTGTGCCCAACATTTCTGCACTGACATGATAAAAATTGCTTAGGATATTGCTGAGTTTTGCTGAACCATTGTTTGTGCAGGGTAGGCCTAAAGGAATTGCAGGTCATTACAGCCGGAAGAGTTTAAAGGTGATTCTACACCAACACAAAACCTAGAATGAAACTGTGGCATCCAAGATGGCAGTAGGGAGTCCTCACTGCTCAGCCATGCCAAAAATGGTTCAGTGTTGCTGGGCAGATGCTCAGCTTCTATTCCCCTCCCATCCATGTTGTAGACCTTGTTCCCTCCTTCCAACCTCCTTCATGAGTCACACAAACCAGTAGTAGGAAGGAGGACCCCCAAGTAGCATCATGGGGGAGAGGAGAAGCCATCCTGGAGAACATGGGATTTCTGTTGGAACAACTACAACCAGTTCTGTTTCAGAACTGGATGCAACTGGCTGGGCTGCCCAAATTCAGGGGTGAACCTGAATCCTGGTGTAGGATTTGGATTTTCCCTGAGTTCAATTAATCTGGGTTGAAAGTCACGTTTAACAGCTTTCCTCTAGTTCAATTAGATTGGTACCATGTGTGTTGAGTAACTGTTCAAGGGCTGCTCCAACCACAAACTGACCTAAGTGGTCAGTGTAGATGAAGCTTATGTCACCCTTATCTGTGTTATATATGAGTATAAATGAAATACTTAACTTGCTATCCTAATGTCTAGGATGGGTCAGTGTGTTTTTGTTTGTTTGTTGTGATTGTTTTTGACTTAGATATTTATCATAGGAATTAAATGTACCATGGTGGTGATATATGTAAAATCGAATGCCCACAATATTTCTTAACATTCCATTCTAGTAATCTGTCAAAGATGTTCTGCTGTCTCTGTCTCTGGAAAACAAAGATTCCACCCACCCCACAACATTTTTGTGATCTGCAATCCTAGGAGGGTCTTCCATGCCCTTCCAAACTTTTTAAAGAGATTTCTGGCTAAAATAGATATTTGTTTCTTCTGAAAGGCTGCTGAAGAAGCAATGTTGTGTTTAACAGAAAAGGGATCTTTCTAAGCTTTAAAAGGATCTTTCCAAGCACTTCCAGATCCAGTTATTCCCATTTTTCTTTCTATTTGGGGGTCCTTTTGGTTATTAGAGTGGGAGAGGGACTTAAGCAGCTTCTAGCAGGTGCTGAGAATGAGAATCCAATCTTTTGTCCCAACAAAGTTGTCCATTTTTGCTGTTAATCGTGGTGATGAGAAGAACTTCAATGCCTTGTGGTGTTGCAATATTTTTATTATACAATTTAATTTCAGTGTGGATTTCACAATGTTCCACTTTAGGCAGGGCTAGTGATTAGAAAATGGAAAAAGAAACATTCTCTTAGAAGTCAAAACAAAACAAACTCCACTCACTATATTCACTGAGTCTCTGTGATGTCTCATGATTCAGCAACCTGGCTTTATTCAGTGTCTGCATGGGAAATTACCTGATCACTCTGCACATGCTGTCTATCATGGAAGAAAGGAAAATGTAACAATAGATCTGTCCAAATGATGCCTATGATTTGTAACAGGCATTCTGATGTGTTATTGGAGTTGGACATATCCCACATGCCCCATTAACAAGGCTTCTGTTAATTTCCACAAAACAGGTAAATAATTCAAAAGAAGTTATATGTCCCTGAATATCAAGCAGCTTTCCAAAACCAATTTTATTCATGTGATTACTTTATCCCAAAATGTAGCTGTTATGAGACAGTTCCAAAACACATGCATTACAAATGCATTAGTGGTATTACACAATTGTTGAACTGGAGATAGAAAGTTGATTTGAATACTAGGTTGGTCTCAATGTCTCTAATATCACTTAAAGGTGTAAAGCCAAATTTGAATTGTAACAAATGTTTCATTTGTCAATGGTGCTATGTAGTTAATGGAAAAGCAATAATCTGATTTAAGGTGATAATACCATTCTCAGGCCACAGCTTCTTTAAAAATGGTTCCTTACCAATTTTCAAATTTGGATTCCTTTGTAAAGTTAATTTGGAATGCGTCTATGTGTCATGAGACATACATACATCCCTCTGATCCTGGAAGTAATACAGAGGCATTGTCCTTGAAAGATATTTTGTTCAAGTTTTATTTTCCTAGAACTTGACATATGCTAACTGTAGAGTTCTTAGAATAATAGCTGGAAGAGACTACAACAGCCATCAGTCCAACCCTCTGTCATGCAGGAGTGCACCATTAATTCACTCTAGACAGATGGCCATCCAGCCTTTGTTTAGAAACTTCCAGAGAAGGAGAGGTTTCTAAATACTGTACCACACTCTTAGGCAGCATATTCCACTATGGAACAGCTGTTACAATCTCTAGATCTTTCCTGTACACTTTATGTTGAGGAAACAAATAATAAATTATGATGGTAGTCCCAAAGTTTGAGATCCCTTACCTACCGTATTCTAAATATGCTCACAATTGGCATGTGCATACAAGGCATTACCGGTGTAGACTTGTTTGTAATAGATGGTGAGCATTTTTTTTTGCACTCAATGTTACATCCAAATGAAATTGATATTTGAAACACTGCTGGGTGTTTTGATTTTCCACTGGATTTTCTTCCTCTCTTCCCTCCCTCCCACTGCTCTTTGTTACAGGTCCAAGGCCTGCCTTCCTTCATTTACTCATGTGCAAGCCAACAAAGTACACTGGTAACACATACTCTCTACAAAGAATTGCAAAATCTCAACTTGCTCTTCCGTGGGACTCCAATGAAAGGCCAGACAAACTGTCAAGGCTGTATTCGGGGAAGGGAAGGAAGGGAGTAGGATGTAGGAGCTCTATTGCTATTTACCCGTGTCACCAGGAAGAAAGGCAGCTGAGTATTCTTGTTAATAAATAAACAAACCTTTGAAGTGCAGATAAACCTGGGGGGATTTATAAGTTTGCTTTTGTGGAAGGCAAATATTAACCTTCCGTCAAGTCTGTCCCATAGCTACCTTTTTGGCTGTAGTATGAGCTGTACTTTCAGGTGCCACTTGTCTTCAGAAAAGCCACATTTCTGTGTAACTTTTAGGCAAACTGAATTTGCCAGCTTGAGAGGGCAACCAATCTGCAGAGGTCACCCGAATCAGCTATTAAGAAGATATATCTTGTTCTTTACAAAGGTAGTGATGCTCCATCTTGTCTATTTTGTTCAGAACTTGGAAAAGTACCTCAAATGTAATGTAACCCAAAATGTAGACCTGGTGACATGACTCCTCTACTGTCATAACTATAAATATAACTAAAACTTACAATCAGCCTGAAGGAGCTTTGAGGTTATCTCACATTAAGTTGCAATGCTAAAGTAAAGCAGTTTGAAAGGTAATCAGTTTACTACTAACAACTCATATGCAATGAATTCCTTCCAACATCAGTCTGTATCACTCTGTCTTGATCTCCAGAAAGCCAGAATATGGCAGAGAAAGTCATTTGATATCTGCCTGGATAATTATCTGTTACTGATTCCAAGCTTTCATTTTTTTTAGAATAGTAAGTGCATATAACAGTTTGTAACTTTGAATATGTTTGCTGGATTTTAACTGAATTTTTTAAATACTGTTGTGTTTAATTCTGTGTTAATGTTTATATATTTTAAATTGGATACCAATGCTTTTATGTCAAGCCATTTTGAGTCCCCTTTGGGGAGATAAAGCAGGACAGCAACAACAACAACAGATATTATAGTTCTTATAGAAGTGGAGTTCATCGGGACAAAATGTGCAGTTACTTATCTATCAAACTGTTTTGCTAGAAACCAGCTTGTACCTCCCTTTGACTCCAATAATTCATGTTAGAGTGTTTTACCTCAGTTCCCTGGGTCAGTGCTACAGTTCTGCAAGCAAATCTCTATTTTGGAGAGTGTAGTTGGTGTCTGTTTTGCAAAACTCTTTACAAAGCCTAGACAAAAAAAAGAGAAAGAAATGGATGTCATTTGAGTGAAGAAGTTGCATAGCACATATTACTATTTAAGGTTTGTCTCTGCTTCCAATTTGCCTCTGCTTCCAGTCACATCTTGCTGTCATTTCTCTCTTTCCTTCCTATATACAGGTTGAGCATCCCTTCTCTATATTTCCAAAATCCAGTATATGCCAGAATTGTCCAGTGAATGGGTCCCATCTCCAAGATATTTCATTATGGACGTATCTGTTATTACGAATATTCCAGATCCAGAAGAATCTGCAATGTAAAACACTTTTATTCCCAAGTGTTTTGGATATGGGAT